CCCCAAAACCCCAAAACCCCAAAACCCCATGGCTTTATATTTTCGATAAGATCACTGTTTAAAATTTATAATTAATAATATTATTGAAAATGATTGCATCATTAAATCTATTATTAAAAACTCTAGCCTTATGTAGCTTATTATGCATAAAAGAGATAAAAGCAAGTGCCTCAGCCAGTTTAAGCTATAAATTGAAAGGATAGGATTGGCATGATATGTGTTCAATAGTAAGTAATCTAATTTTAAGTTGAGTTTTGCTTATAGGGTAAATAGTAGAGTCCAATTGATATTCCTCTCGAATTAATAATGACAAAGGAAGATGTTGAAAATGTCCATTCGGCTAGATTACTTGAAGATGTTCACAAAACAAGTACCGATTAGCATAGCACAGAAGATCATGAATAATCTCAATAACCTATAACTGACCATCATGAAGAAGTAAATTATCACGGAAGAATTCTTGAGAATAAGAATTTGAGGTTACTACTTTCAGACTCTTAAGTAACTAATACTATAGTCACTGATTATCACACTACAAATCAAGTAAATGTGATAAATGGAACTGGCACACTCGCTTTTTGGAATTCAACAGGAGATATAGGATTATTTAAACTTCTACAAATGCACATTCATGCTCCTTCGGAGCATACTTTTAACGGTAAAAATTATGATCTAGAGCTACACTTAGTTCACAGAAAATTCGGAACAAATATCCTCTCTGTACTTGCCTTGTATTATGATGTGAATGAAGGAGGAAACAAAGAAAATGAGTTTATAGAGTCTCTCAAGTTAAAGGAACACAATCCTCAAGTAGCTTTAATTCCATTGTAGGAATAAATAGAAGCTGTTGATGTATCTAAAATTATTCATTATAAAGGCTCATTAACTACGCCTCCATGCACTGAGGGTGTTAACTGGATAATAAGTCCTAAGCCTTTCCATATTTCTGAAGAATAAATGGAGATTATCAATCATCATTGGAAGAGTGACAAAACGTTTGCGAATGGCAATGGGAATAATAGATAAGTTCAGGCTTTAAATGATAGAGTAATTTATTACCACATACTTGATCATGCATTAGTGAACAAGATTTAAGTTTCATTGTTAGCTTTTGTCTTTTTGATTTCTTATTTTTGAAAATATTTTATTGAAGAATGAATCGATTATGGTTTTTATGGGGTTTTGGGGTTTTGGGG